CCGCGCCCGCCCCGCCCCTCCCCCCCCTCCCGCGCCCTGCCCCGGAGCCCCTTCCTCGGCCCCGATCCCCCCTGCGCCGCTTGCAGAGGCAGCCCCCTCGGAGTCGAGCCGCGCCGCCTCCTACCGCGCAGGGACCACGCGAGGAGGATGCCCGGGAAATGCCGGCCAGGCCGGCGCTCGTGGGCTCCGGGGCGGCCGCGGGCGGGAAGGGAAGGGAAGGGAAGGGCAGGCGCTCTGCGCTCGGTCGGGAGCTCCCTTTGCGAGCGTTTCTGGTGCGCGCAGGGCCCAGCTCGAGCTTTTCGGGAGGGCTTGCGGCCTGGGTTCGGCCCCGCTTTGGTGCCATGCCTGCACCGAGCCCTGGAGACAGGCTTCTTCCCTCCCAAACCGGAGGCTCATGCAAGGGTGGCCTTTGGGGAGCCCATATGCCTCAATCTCAGTTTCTCCACCTGTAAAATGGGCACACTGAGGACCTGCAAGACAGGCAAGGAGCACTGATGTTTGAGATTCCACTTCTGGCCATGCCGCTGGTATATGTCCTGCAAAAAGCGGTGTGGTTAGAGCAAGTATGACCCCAGGTTCAAGTATTATGGGAGAGGGAGAAAAATGTCTCCCTGCCTTCTCCACACCGTGCATTCTTTTAAGCACCGCTCGTGCCTCCCCTTCCTCGCCTTTTTTCTAAGCTGAGCAGTCCCAGTTGCTGTAGCTGCTCCTCGCCCTTAACCCTGCCGCAGCCCCGTTAATTTTTGCTGTCCTTCTCTGCACCTTTTCCTGCACCTCTTTCTCAGGTAAGGCAGCCAGAACTGAGCACGATGTTCTACGGATGCTCATACCAAAGATTTGTGTAAGGGAAGTAAGATCTTGGCAATTCTAGTTTCTTTTTTGCTGGAGCTGATCTGCGCACTGGGCCAAAATTGTCATCGAGCGGTTCCCCCTCCCCGATCCCTTGACTTGCTCTGTCACTGCCAACTCGGATCTCGTCAGTTTATTCTTGAAGTAGGATTTTTGGCCCCAGCATGTATTACTCATAGAAGGAAAAGGAGGCAGTCTTCAAATATGGGAGTTGCCTTCTGCTTCAGCAGGCCCTCTTGATCCATCCAAGTCCTGTATTGTCCACACAGGCTGGCAGCAACTCCAGTCCAGGGTCCCATGCAGGGGTCTGCCGTAACTTGAGATCACAGAGGTAGCACCTAGGAGTTGTGCTGCAAAGGAGGAGCTGGCCCTGTGAGCCAGGAGATGGGAACAGACTTGCCCTGTTACCCCGGGACTACAAGCAAGGGGAAGAAATGTCAGGGAAGTAAATTTTGGCTAAACTTGAAGAAACTTCCTAAGATTGCTCTGATACCGACTCGCTCAGGGGTTGGGTTCTCCTTTGCTGGACAGCCACCTGTCTGAGATGCGGTGGTTGTATGATTCCCGCTCTAAGCGATAGCTTGGCCCGGCTGGATTTACCGAAGGTGCAGCTCTGAGCATGTTTCAACAGAAAACAGGCCTAAAGCTTCCAACGTGCCCCAGCCAGCAAGTTGGGAGTTGTAGGCAAACGTAAGACGGCTCCCTTACTTAGTAAAGCTAGTCTTTTAAAAGCTGCTTCCTGATGCAAGCTCTTTGGACAAGTCACAGAACAAACACAGCTGCAAAACTCAGCAATAACTATTAAAACCTCAAAACAATCCAAACAGAAAACTTAGAGGCCCGGGTTGAGACATGCATTATTTAAAGAAGTGGCTGAATTAAAAAAAAAAGTGTTGCATACGTATGACCATCAAGATGAACGCTCAGGTGAGTCAATGGGGGTGGGGGTTTTATAACCAGGATACCATGAGGGAAAGAACCTCACCTGAGTGGTTACCTGCCTCACTTCACCTGGGGGAGCACTTGGAGCAGGATGCCCAAAGAGCTTACGGTATGAGGGGCACAAAGGAGAAATGGGGAGGTTTCAGGTTGTCCGGTCCGAGCTGTTTAGGGTTTTATTTATTTATTTATTTATTTAAAATATTTCTATGCCGCCCCCATCGCAACAAGCCAAGCTTGTTGAACTGGGCCCAGAAACAAACTGGGAGACAATGCAAAACACGTGTGAAAACACTGGAGCTTAATAACGGTACAGGGAAGAGGCAGAAAGTTTTGAATGTGCCGTAGTAAATGTTGAGTTTTGAGGAAAGGGTTGGGTGAAATGGGGAGAAGGCACCACACGGCATTTCTGCGAAGCAAAAGAGAGCAGCATCCACATCAAATCTGATTGCATACCTACTTGGTATACTAATACTGCCTCTTTCCTATTCGCATCCGTATTACCACACCCTGCCCGCATCATGAAGTTCTTCACAATTCAAGGAGTATTTGCACACCGATTCAAGTGAAAATATCCTTTATCTGCCAGCAGCGGAAAGCATGCCCGTGTTCTCCCCTCCTCTCATTTGCACAAATGTTTTCAGCAAATGCTAAAGAAATCCCAGTTCTGAAGGGAAAAGGCTCATTCCTCAGATATTTATTTAAACTATTTCCAAGGCTGCCCCTCTGGAATATTGCTATCTGCATAGCATACAATTAAGAAAGGGGCAATTACAAAATCTAAAGTGAAATGGACAGAGATCAAAGCAGCCATAAAAATAATGAAGCGCAGAATGCCAGCTTTACTCGTTGGAATGCCTTGGTGCGCGATGCCTTCGGCTAATGCAGACAAGGGCAAGCTTGTATGGATTGTACCACATACTCTAGCTATTGTGACACTGGGCAGAACAAGCTGTGTGTGGAGTCAACAACTTTGTGTGCCTATTCTGCTAATTCAGAGAGACTAGTGCTGGCTTACGATTCCTGGCTGCTGAGCCCAAACACGGCCAAGACCACTGCAGTGCCACAACTAAGACCACTGTCGGGAAGTCTCCATGGCAGCGCAAGAAGGATCACCAGGTTCACTCAGGAAAGACCCCTTTCGCCTTGAACCTGAGCAGTTTTACTGAAAGATCACCCAGGACCCCTGCAGTGACTTACGATGGCATGCTACCAGGTAGGGGTTCTCACCGCCACTACAAAACCGCAGCCCGCGGACAGACCCTTTTATAACCTGCTAGTCACGTACACCAATGCAGAGTGTTAAGTTTCCAGATAATTCTAGTCCAAGAGCATTCTGATTTCTCTGGGTATGACATAATGTTCTAAACCGATCACAAATACTGTTAACCATAGTATGGAAAACATGACTGATTGCTTTATTGCTGTCAATTGAGTAGACCTCTCTGCAGTCTGGATCCTGCTTAAACATGCAAATGTGTCTGATGGAAGAGCCATTCAAGAAATCTGGTTTGGCAACTACACTCAGAGAAACATAGAAATAGAGCGAGTCAGAAGGGGCCTCCCAGGCCATCTAGTCTGACCCCTGGCTCCAGCCGGCTCCGCTCACGACATGCCCACCATGTGTATGTCCAGGCTATCTTTGAACACCCGCACCAATGGGGCCTCAACCACCTCCTGGGGAAGCCCATTTCACACCCTCGAGGTCCCGACAGTCAGGAAGTGCATCCTGGCATCTAAATGTAACCTTGGTTCCCGCAGGGGCTTGCCTCTGTGGGACTCCATGCTTAGGTGGGTCCATTCAGAAATGGACACCATTGTTTCCATTCTGCAGCCGATGAGAACAGAGGTATTTCCTCACTAATCATGTCAGCCTCCAGCAGCTTCTCAGCCCAGTTAAGAATTCCATCTTCTTAGAGTAACAGCACCACTAAACAGTGACCTGGCTTGGGATTCTCTGCTTTCTGAGAAAGGGGTGCAGGTTCGATTTTTAACACAAAGGCACATATAAGCAACCTTTTTCTGCCAAGTTCCATCTGAATTTTCCCAACACCATCTCAGAACTACCTACCTATGTGTTGATAGATGGACTTGGGGAAAAAGATTTTCAGAGGAGCGGTGCAGTGATTGAGTGCAGTTGTGTGGCAGGAGGCGAGCCTTTTGCACCAGCTCTCAATGGTTTAGAGCTTCGTATGCAAGCGCCAACTACACCCAGAAACTGGTCGCCAGCCAGTGCAACTGTTTAAAGAGCTGGCAAGAGAGGATCTGCAAATTCAGCCCCAGTTGGTAACCAACCTGCCACACGTTGAACAAACAGATGTTTCTGGAAAGGTGTCAGTGGCGGCCCCACATGCAGGAGATTTTGGTGATCTTCAAGGCAGAGATTATTGGTATGGATACTGGTAGCCAGCTATTCTCTGTGCACGGGGGATCAGCAGATAGAAAGTCAACAGAGAGCCTCAAATCACAACACAGAACCCAGCTACAAAAGTACCTCAGCAGGAAGTATTTGAAATTATGATTTATAACACACACAGCCATGAATTGTAAATGTTAAGAATGGATTATTCGGCATTAAAACCCTGGAAGCCGAAAAGGCAACCTATGTTTTGTTTATTAAATGCTACCAAACAGAGCTGAAACTTCAAGTAGGTGGGCTTCATGCAAGGTTTCCCTCTGCTGTAGCCAAGCTGAAATAGCTGCTGCATAATGTTACTAAGTGTTTATATAACCTTTCTCAAAATTCCCTTTGAACTGGCAGATTTTGCATCTGGCCTAAACCTTCGGATGCATCTCTCTCTCCTACTGCATGGTGCATTTTCAACTTATTATTTAATATTTCGATTTGTTTAGGAGCTGAGACTCCAGTTTCCATACATGGTTTCTGTCATTGGACTTCCTATTGACTTAGTACCCTTCCTTTTCAAGAAATCACAGTTCTTTGCTCAATATTCACGGATTACACTCCCCCCACAAGTTTTTGCTCTTTAATATTTCTACCTTCTGAGTTATGTATCACTTTAAGTTGTGGCTAGTTTTTGGTGCTAGCCTATGTAAAACTGTGTGAAAAATAAAATTATATTGTCCAAAGAAACTAAACAGCTGGAGATAGCAAAAGTGGCACGCACTGAACTTGAAAAAACACATCTAATTATTAGCCAGTAAATCTCCAAATCGCTGGATGACCCCTGCAAAGTAGAATTATTACACCCAGTGGCAGCTTTAGAATATAGCAGGCCCCTGAACTAAAGCAAGTCAAAGCATCTTGCATTCTTTAACTGCATCCATTCATGTTGGATTCTCCAGCATGAAATAGTTCCCAATTATTATTCCATATGGCAAGCAGATCTAAGGTTTCTTCCCTGTGTGAGCTACATGGTAAGCTCTGTCTTCTGACTGAACCTTTTCCTACACGTTAAGCATTTATAGAGTTTCTCCCATCTGTGAGTTTTTGATGAGAGGCAAGGTTTCCTACATGCCAAGCATTTCTGACATTATTGTGTTGTAAGCCGCCCCGAGGCTTCGGCAAGGGGCGGCATAGAAATGTTATAATAGTAATAATAATAATAATAATAATAATAATAATAATAATTTCTCCTATGTGCTACTTGATGAACCGAGAAGTGTTTTCTGATTCAAGCTTCCTTCTGTACTCCAAACAGATTCTCCCCTCTGTCAATAATTTGATTAAAAGCAAGGTTTGTGTTTCTACTGATGCTTTTGCAGAGTTTTATGATTCCGCCAGTGTGAATTCGCAGATGAGAAATTAGACAGATCTCCTTAGTGAAGTTCTCTGCACGTTCTACTCAATGCTGAAGTTTCCTCCCTCTGTGCAGAAGTAGCGTGTGGGTTTTGGTTGGGGCTCTTCCCACAGTCTGAGCACTGCTAACTTTTCTCCACTGTGCAATTTCACTGATGAGAAAGCTACACTCAAAGCACTGGATACAGTTTCTCCCCTGGAAGCATTTTGCAAGTTGCTTTAAGGTTAAATTTAGAATTAGATATTTTCCTACCCACACAGCACCCCTTGTTTTCCTGTATTTTATCCATTTTTCTTCCACTGAAATGTTGTTGCCAAAAAACAAAGGATCAATTCTTCCTTCAGTTTTCCATCTTGATTTCCCCCTATTTTCACATCTCTTGTTTTCCTGACCTTCCACGTTGTCTGTCCTGATTTACCATTTCACACCTGTGGCTTTCTGGAACGAAGACAAGAAATGACTTTAATCCTGAGCTAGAAATGGAAGCTCTAATCATGGAATGACTTCAGTTACATATTGTTATAAAAAAGAGCCCTAAAGGCCAATGTGGAAAAAAGTTCTATACGTCAGACAGCCTCCGTTGAGTGTAAAAGCAATGGATTGGGGCTACAGAGTCCTGGGTTCAGCTTCTAGCTCACATGTGAACTTTACTGGATGTGCTGGGCCCAGTTGCTCTCTCTCCCTTAGCCCTCCCACCCACAGGATTGAGGGCAGGTAAGTGGACAGTCTGACACACGGTAGATCAAACTGTCTGAGGAGACAGTAGGATTCAAACATGGCGAGGAGAAAAGAGAAGAACCATCAATCAGTGGCAGATCTTCCCGGAGAACATTTTGTCGTTCATAAATCTATAAATCCTGAGTTTAAGCAGGTGCTTTGTGTGCCACGTCCAGACGATGCCACACTAGACAGGCCATGGATAGTCTGAAATGTTCATACCACAGTGAGACGAAGAGCTCATGGAGCCAGATATACTGCTGGAGACTCCCGGAATAGGTGTGACAAAGTTGTCAACCCATCTTTGGTTAGGGAAACTAAGTGCAAATACCCTGTATTCCAAGCACTGATATGGATTCTCTCCAGTGTGAATTCTTTGATGTGAAGTGAGATTCATCTTACTACCAAAGCTCTTCCCACACTCCAAGCATAGATATGGCTTCTTCCTTGCGTGGATTCTTTGGTGTCTACTTAGGCCTGTGCTCTGACTGAAGCTCTTTCCACAGTCAAAGCATTGATATGGTTTCTCCCCTCTGTGCATTCTTTGATGGGATGTGAGTTTTGCTGTCTGAATAAAGCTCTTTCCACACTCCACACACTGATAGGGTTTTTCCTCTCTGTGACTTCTTACATGATAAGTGAGACTTATCTTCTGGATGAAACTCTTTCCACATTCCAGGCATTGATATGGCTTCTCCCCTGTGTGAATTCTTCGATGTGAAGTGAGATTTATCTTACGACCAAAGCTCTTCCCACACTCCAAGCACAGATATGGCTTCTCCCTTGTGTGTATTCTCTGGTGTCTAGTGAGGTCTGTACTCTGACTGAAGCTTTTCCCACATTCGAAGCACTGATATGGTTTCTCCCCTGTGTGTGTTCTCTGATGTCTAGTGAGTCCCGTACTCTGGCTGAACCTTTTTCCACATTCAAAACATTGATATGGTTTCTCTCCAGTGTGCATTCTTCGATGGGATGTGAGCTTTGTCATTTGAACAAAACTCTTGCCACACTCTAAGCACTGATAGGGCGTTTCTCCTGTGTGGATTCTTACGTGGTAAGTAAGGCTTACTTTCTGGATGAAACTCTTTCCACACTCCAAGCACTGATATGGTTTCTCCCCTGTGTGAATTCTTTGATGGGATGTGAGTTTTGTCTTCCGAATGAAGCTCTTGCCACACTCTAGACACTTATATGGTTTTTCTCCTGTGTGGATTCTTACATGGTAAGTAAGGCTTATCTTCTGGATGAAACTTTTGCCACACTGCAAACACTGATATGGTTTCTCTCCTGCGTGAATTCTTTGATGTCTAGTGAGCTCCGCATTCTGACTGAAGCTCTTCCCACACTCCAAGCATTGATACGGTTTCTCTCCTGTATGATTTCTCTGATGGAAAGTGAGACTTGTCTTATGACTGAAGCTCCTTTCACATTCCAAACATTGATAGGGTTTCTCTCCTGTGTGGATTCTTTGATGAGAAGTAAGATTTATCTTCTGAGTGAAGCCTTTTCCACATTCCAAGCACTGATATGGTTTATTACCTGTGTGAATAGTTTGATGAGAAGCAAGGTTTATCTTATGACTGAACCTCTTTCCACATTCTGGACATTGATATGGCTTCTCCCCTGTGTGTGTTCTTTGATGGTAAGTGAGGCTTGTCTTATGACTGAAGCTCTTTCCACATTCCAAGCAATGATAGGGTTTCTCCCCAGTGTGAATTCTTTGATGGGAAGTGAGATTTATCTTCTGACTGAAGCTCTTTCCACACTCCAAACACTGATATGGTTTCTCCCCTGTGTGGGTTCTCTGATGAGAAGAAAGCTTTGTCTTCTGACTAAAGCTCTTTCCACATTCCAAACATGTATATGGTTTCTCCCCAGGATGAATTTTGGAACGTGTTTTAAGGTTTGATTTACAGTTGAAAGATCTTTGAACAAGGCACCTCTTATTCTCCAGTCTTTTTCCTATTTTTTTTTCGGTTGCATCACAGTCTCTTCCCTGGAAATCAGAGGCTTTATTCCTCCACCCTTGCTTTCCTCCAGGTTTTCTTTTCCGCTGCCCTCTGTTTTTACATCTGTCTTTTTTCAGTGACATCCAAGACGCTTCTCTCTTCCTCTCCATTTCCCATCTGTCAGCCTCTGGAATGACAGAAGAAGGAAGAAAACGGAAAAGCCAGAGTCAGAAATGGAATGTCAACACACTGAATTACTTCAATTAATAATTGTGAGAACAGGAAGAATTCTAAAGACAGAGATTGGAAGTGGTGTGGTAAAGAGCAATAGATTGGGACTAGATCATCCCAGTTAAGTTCCTACTTCACACCTGAACCTTATGGGGTGTGGAGTCAGTTGCTCTCTTACCATGGCCTTCCTCACAGGATTGTTGTTGAAGAATTTTTTTTTCCTGATGACCAAACAACAAGCGTCAGTTACTTAGTGTTCTATCAGAGCAGCACAAGAAGGTCTAAAATATAAAATAAACATCTGTCAAGAAGGGCAGAATCGGTAAAGATAACCCTGGAGGCAGATGTGTTGACAGCGAGGGAAGAAGTCTAAGTCAAGATAACCATGTACAAAAGTAACGGAATGTTTCCTGCTATGACTTTTTCTGTTACTCCTCAATGAAAAAACACTAAAGGTGTAAATTTGCTGTACATGATGATTGTGGCGGCTGGTCCAGAGTGCAGATGGGCTCACTTTGTTTCGGTAGCACGCATCTAAAAGGTATGGAACAACCTGCTGGTTTTGCCTGCCTTTCCCACAGCCAGACAACAAACATGAGCGGAGCCGGCTGGAGCCGGGGGTCAGACTAGATGGTCCGGGAGACCCCCTTCTGACTCACTCTGTTTCTATGTTTCTATGTTATTTTGTCCTCAACATTGTGCACCCAAACAACTATTACTCCTCTGTGGATTTTTGTTTAACGAAAAGGCGGGATTACAGATGTTTTGATAAATAAAAGTGGATCAGTCCAGCTACACCAAAAAGAAGGGAGATGCTGAAATACCGCATGGAATTACACGCAGGCTGATCTTCAGGTACTGATTAAAAGCTCTGCCTCCCCCTAATCATGGCATTTGTCCTGCTGAGGTTTGGGGCACTTGTGCTGTCTGAAATGTTTCCAGGATGGCTGAACCCTGTATCTTGAAATTGCTCTCATTAAGGTGTACGATGTTTAGATTACTGTATAAAGAGATACATGCCACTGGGCAAGCAGGAGTCCAACAAGGCTTAAATAAATACAGGAAATGGGCCAAAAAACTGTGACGACCACTGACATCACATTTGTAAGCAGCCTTTCTCACCACCCAGGGAAGAGGGAGCCTTACCAAGAGAGGCCACGGTCCCACAGATCTCCTCCCAGATCTGCCTGTGCAGGGCTCTCTGGTCAGGATCCAGCAGGGCCCACTCCTCCTCGGTGAAGCACACAGCCACCTCCTCAAAGAGCACCAGGCCCTGGGTGGAAAACCAACATTTCATCCTCATAGCAAACAGAAAGTTATCTTTTGAATGGTGGTGCTGGAGGAGACGCCTGCAAGTCCCTTGGACCGCAAGGCAATCCAACCGGTCAGTCCTAGAGGAGATCAGCCCTGACTGCTCTTTAGAGGGCCAGATCCTGAAGATGAAGCTCAAATGCTTTGGCCACCTAATGAGAAGGAAGGACTCCCTGGAGGAGACCCTGATGCTGGCAACGATTGAGGGCAAAAGGAGAAGGGGGCGGCAGAGGACGAGGAGGCTGGATGGAGTCACTGGGGCGGTGGGTGTGAGCTTGGGTGGATTCTGAGGGATGGTGGACCACAGGAGAGCCTGGCTGTCCATGGGGTCGTGATGGGTTGGACACGACCTTGCAGCTAAACGAAAAAGCCCCCAGCACTGTCCCAAGGGTTGCTTACACTGAGGTGGGCGGGCATTTCATTGCATGACTAAGTGCCCAGGAGTGGCATTTCCAGCCGTCCTCGTGAGAGAGGAGGTGGGCACACGGTGGGGGTGACGTTGCCTTCCTCCAGGGTCCCGGGCAGCATCTCTCCCAAGGCCAGCGGCTGGGGAAGAGCAGAGGTGGAGTCCCAGGGCAGAGGCTCCACAAAAATCTCTCCTAGTATGCCTAGCTTTGCCAGGAGCGAGCAGAATGAGAGACCCTCATTCAGGCCCTCTGAAGGGAGCAGGCAACAGGGCTGCCAAGTCCTCTAGCCTCCTACCTGGTCTGCTAACCCTCCATCACAAAGAGGATGATGTGAGAGAGGACTTATTCTGGGTGGCATCATTCCAGCCCCTATGAGGGAGAAAGGCAGTTAGGAGCCAGGGGGAAATGCTTGTTTCCAAGATTAAAATGACAAACCTTCACACAGGTGGCAGGACTTAATCCCCACTGAACATTCTGAAGTAGTTTGCACGATGGAAAACCCATCATAGCTTATGTAATCGAGGTAGACTCTGGCATGTGCCAGTGGCCATTCAGAATATTCAGGTCGCAACCTAAACCAGGCCATGGGTTATTCCAGGATTAATTAAGCCAAAGTGATTGTCTGAACAACAGTAAACTGCCCAGGGTTCAGCTGAGCAAGTGTAAGAACACCTTTGTGTTAAAAGAGGTTCTGCCTTTCATTGGGTGCTTATTTGAACTGAGCAAAAAAGCCAATTGGGCTTCGGGCTGCAATCCAAATATGCAAAACCTTCAACTCTTAAATAATAAACACTTTTTTAGCTGAGGAAATGTAGGAGACAGTCAGATTTGCTCCCAGAAGTCTTGGTGGAAATAAAGCCACACTAGGACTTCCTGTGCATTCCAGAGAGGAAGGCCGAGGCGAAAACTACCTCTAGCGCACTCACAGTGTGTCCTTACCCTGCAAGGTGGCACCTCTGTCGCTCTCCTGCTCGGTCCCCTCTTGCTGGGAACCCCTTCCTTTGGCTGACGGAGCCTTCTTTGCCACAGGAAAAGCAGATACTGCTTCCACGAAAAGATTCTCTACCTGAACCAGAAGAAGGAGAGGAACGAGAAGGGTTAGAAAGGGAACAAGAGGCCAAACCTGGCAGGAAAGGGGTTGAGAGGTGGGCATGGGATGTCCTTCCTCAGAGGACTTCCAGAAGAAAGCTGGGTGCTCCATCGAGGCAGTTTGAGCATATGCCGTCTCACGTGTCCGACCCCCTGGAGATCTCAGGATGCAAGGCTCTCACCCGCAGCTCTTCCCGCTTCTTGTCCTCCTCCAGGCTCAGGAGGAACCCCTCTGCCAGGGCCACGGCCTGGGAACTGGTCTCCGCTCCACATTCCCTCACCCAGCTCGACATCTCCTGGGGCAGCATGGCGAGGAGCTGCTCCAGGACGACCAGGTCCATGACTGGATTTTGGGAATGCTGCTCCAGCTTCAGCCACTGACGGGCGAGATGACAGAGCCGGCTGTACAGCTTCCGGGGGCCTTCAGCCGCCTGGTAGCAGAGCTCCCAGAATTGCTGCCGCTGTCGCTCTGAAAGCGCCATGCCAGTGTCCACGATCTTCTTCCCCCTGGAGGCCCAGTTTTTGTTGCCACCGCCTGTCCTGGTGGCATCGGGGCCTCTTCCTGCTCCCCGGGTGGCCCGCTCTTGTCGGTCCATCTTGCAGCTGCAAGTCACAGAAATTCCGACCGAATTCCCTCGAAGCAAAGATCGCCTCACCACGCAGCGCTGTGGAAGGCCTGCAAAGCCTGGGGTGCTGACCTGTGAAGGAAGCGTTATATCGTCTGAGAAGAAGCAAAGTGCCGCCCTCCAGCTCCCGAGCAGGTCACATCCCAGGAGGAAAGAGGGGCGACGGCAACCATCCGAAGCAGCACTAGAGACACGGGCAGCGTCTTTCACCTGCGAGACAAGAAAGCTGCTCCTCGGCTTGAGACTGGAGCACAACCATCTCCTGATGCTACCGTGCCTCTCCTTCCAGCGATCCACCCACCCCAGCCCTGTCTGAACCCCCCGCCCAGTCTCCGTCCAAAGCACCCCCACAGCCCCCCTGCCATTTCCTTTAGCTTGTCTTGCACTCCATGTAATCACTGAACACGTTTGCGTAACATCTGCATGGTTTACACCAGGGGTCCTCAAACTTTTCCAACAGGAGGCCAGTGGAAGGGGCCCAGGGTGGGCCTGGGTCACCAAGGCGGTGCCGGGGGGGGGGGCGCTGGGGCGCACGTATGCATGCACATGCGGGGCAAAGGGCGGGGGGCGCGCGAGGCGAGGCAGCCACTTGCTCGAGCGGGGATTGTTTTCTCCAAGAGAGGCCAAAATGATCTCCCATGGTGAGGCGCCGGCTTGCTCACGCAGAGGTCGTTTTCTCCGAGCGAATCCAGTCTGATTTCCAAGTGAGCGAGCCGCGTGCCCGCACGCATGCGCGCATGGCGAGTGCAAAACCATCGGGGTGGGCCAGTTAACTGGGCATGGTGGGCCGGATTTGGCCCGCAAGCCGTAGTTTGAGGAGCCATGGTTTACACGATAAAACCATCAATGAACTTAAAACGACACATTATCCAATTCAATAATAAAACAACACTAGTGAAACATCTATCCCACAACAGGGATGCCAATCATACGGAAATCATACATTAGCATTAACAGATTGGACACATCTTAAAAATAGCAATTAAAATAGATTCATCAATTAAACACAACAACCTAAAATTAAGTTACAGTTAAAAGTATCAACAATACTCTGAGAATAAAAAAAGGCTTAGTCTGGCACTGAAATGCATACAAAGAAGATGCCTGGCGCACATCTCTGGGGAGCTGGTCCCACAGATGGGAGCCACAGCTGACAAGGCCCTACCCCAAGCTTCCTTTAAAGGCGGCTCCCGGAACAGGACCTCCTATGAAGAGCTTTGTGGCTGGGTAGGTTTATAAGAACAGAGACGTTCTTTTAGATATTCAGGTCCTAAACCATTTAGGGCCTTACACATTAAGACAAATCTAGGGTGTTATACATTAAGAATATATTAAGACTATTTGGGCCACAACCCACAAGCCAGCACAGAATTTGAACAGATGCTTCCCTTCCGCTGTGGCATCCCATCCTATCACTTCCTGGCAAATAGATGGGGTAGAAATGGAGGTAGTGACAGATTTCATTTTTCTGGGCTCCAGGATCACCGCAGACAGGGACTGCAGCCAAGAAATTAAAAGACGCTTGCTCCTGGGGAGGAAAGCTATGGCAAATCTAGACAGCATACTAAAAAGCAGAGGCATCACCCTGCCAACAAAAGTGCGTATAGTCAAGGCGATGGTTTTCCCAGTTGCAATGTACGGTTGTGAAAGCTGGACCATAAGGAAGGCTGAGCGCCGAAGAACTGAGGCCTTTGAATGGTGGTGCTGGCGGAGACTCCTGCGAGTCCCTTGGACCGCAAGGCGATCAAACCGGTCAGTCCTAGAGGAGATCAGCCCTGATTGCTCTTTAGAAGGCCAGATGCTGGAGATGAAGCTCAAATACTTTGGCCACCTAATGAGAAGGAAGGACTCCCTGGAGAAGAGCCTGATGCTGGGAACAATAGAGGGCAAAAGAAGGAGGGGACGGCAGAGGATGAGGTGGCTGGATGGGGTCACTGGGGCACTGGGTGTGGGCTTGGGTGGACTCCAGGGATGGTGGAGGACAGGAAGGCCTGGAGGAGTGTTGTCCATGGAGCCGTAATGGGTCGGACACAACTCAGCGGCTAAACACATTTCCCTTCCTTCACCAGCGATCCCTCTGCCCGAGAGAGGCATTTCCTCCCCCAGAACGACCACCCCCTGCCGCCAGCCCCCCAGCATCGGCGCACAGGCGTGGATCCCGCAACGCCGGAGCCTCCCTCCCTCGGCCCCCTTCTTCCCCCGAAGCGCGATTACTCGCTTTCACGCCCGTTCTGCAGCGCCCCGTTTTCGAGCCCGAGCCGCGGCCAAAGGAGGCCCAGAGGATGGGGACGGGGCACGGCCGCGCCCCCGCAGGGAGGCCGGGGGGCAGGGAGCCCCCGCCCCACGCCGATCCCCAGGGCGGCGCTGCCCCCCGCCCCACCGCGCCCCGCCGCGGGCAGCCCCCCGCCCCGCTGCCTCGGGCGCTGCAGCCCCGCCGGGCGGGGGGCGCTTGCGGGGCGTCGGGGCCGCCCCGAGGGTCCGCCGGCCCCACCGCCGCAGAGCCGCCGCCGGGGGGGGCTCAGCGCCCCCGCCGCCCCCCACCCAAAGAGGGGAGGGCGCACCTGATCCGGGGAGGCGGAAGGAGGGACGCCCAAGGCCGGGCCCCTCGCCCCGGAAGCGGAAGGTGGGGAGGGGGCTCGCCGGAGACCCCCGCGGCCTCCTCTCCGGCAGCCGGCTCCCTCCCTTCGCCCTTGCCGGGCCGTCCCGGGGGAGCCCCCGCCAGAAGCCCCCGCGCCCCCCGCCGCCTTTCGCATCCCGGGGCCGCGTCTGCCCGACTGGGGCGCCCGCGCTGCCGCGCTCCTGCTCTGCGACGCTCTTGCTGCGTTGCGCTCCTGTCCCGCTTTCTTCCTTTGCGCGGGTCCGAGGCGCCTCACCCGGCTCGATGTTATGTGCACAACCACCCTGCGAGGCAGGCCGGGCCGGGAGCCAGCGACTGCGCCCGAGTCTTCCGGGGCGCCCGGTCCTCCGTCCCTCCTCAGGCTGCTCCCTGGCGCTCGCCCCGCTCCACCGGGCCGTGCCCCTTCCTCTTGCTGCCCCCTCCTGCCCAGCCTCTGAATGCTTATTTTCATTTCATCGATGGTTCATTTTTACGAGCAAGCGCGCGAGAGAGAGAGATGCTGCACTTACACTATTATTGCGATTTTATATTATGTGAGCCGTCCTGAGCGCTTGTCAGAAGGACGGGATACAAATGTTTGTAATAATGATAAGAATGAGAATCGAGGTGGTTGGGGAATATGGAAAAATAGGAGCCCCTTTCAATGGAGTTTCGACAGATTTCAGAGGGTTAAAACAAAGCAGGGCACCCCATGGTTTCTTGACAGGGGCACATGCAGGCAGAAATGGTAAGCCAAACAGCTGCCGAGCCAAACCAAATGGCTCCCAATTGTGCAAGGAGGGAGAAATTGCTCAGCGGGGCTCCGTGGCTCCCGGGAAACTGCCTGGAGGACCGGGCTGGGGGGAGCCAACCAGGAACCCATGGCAGGCCTGAGCATCTGCCAGGCCACCGTGGGTTGCGTCAACCCTCCATGGTTGATCGCTGGGGTGGGCGGCTGGGACACTCCAGTCTTCTCTTGGCCAACTGGGGGGAAGAACTGTACCCACAAATCCGCCGCCACCTGCATTTCCCCTCTACAAAACATCCATTGGCCGAGTCTTCTCAGAGATTGGGATGCTGATGGTGAGCCTCCCCGGGAAAAGAGGCGTTTGCGAGCGTGGCTGCTTCCCTGACAGGAGACGGCGCGAGAGGCGCAACACACCAAGGCGTAAGAGCGGCCATGCTGGGCCAGACCAAAGGCCCATCCAGCGCACACAGTGGCAACCCAGCTGCCCCCAGGATCCCTCCAGCAGGGTGGGCGCAAGGCCCCCGCCTGCCCAGCCCCTCAGCAACTGGGGCACGCAGGCAGAGGCCGCCCCCCAGTCAAGCAGGGAGCACATGGCCAGCAAGGCCAGTGGCCACTGCATGCCTCCCTCATGCACGCTGTTGTTTAGTCGCAAACTCGTGTCCGTGGGGTCGTGACTCCATCGCGACCCCATGGACAACATTCCTCCAGGCTCTCCTGTCCTCCACCATCCCTTGGAGTCCTCCCAAGCTCACACCCACCGCCCCAGCGACTCCAGCCACCTCATCCTCTGCCTTTTAACGTTTATATTTTTAATTATAATTATTTAGCTAATTGTTGTAAGCCGCCCCGAGGCTTCGGCGAATGGGGCGGCATACAAATGTTTTAATAAATAAATAAACACATAAATACATAAAAAAATAAATCCCCTTCTCCTTTGGCCGTCAATTGCTCGCAGCATCAGGGTCCCTCATGCACTAGAAACTGGAAACGTGTGTGTGAGCCCTCAGTGACCTTGTCCCATCATCTTCTTTGGTAACAGCCACCACACACCACCCCTCCTGATCAACACAAATGTTTCTGGAACTTTTCTGTCCCCTTCACTCTGGCAAGCTTGCTCCAATCTTTCCTTTTCCTGTCCTAACAGTATTACGGACTAGGGTTTGCCTGGTCTCTCCCCGCACAGCCTCCTCATGCCCAGAACCCCAACCCAAATCACACCCACACAGGTAACCTGCCTGCATAGCTATACATTGAGCTAAGATTACATCCATATATGCCCGCCAGCCCCTTGAGATCTGTGGGAGAGGCCCTTCTCCGGGAACCCTCCGTGAAAGAAATTAGGAGGGTAGGTACTCGGAGGAGGGCTTTCTCTGAGGTGGCGCCCAATCTATGGAACGTGCTCCCCAGAGAGGTCTGCCTGGCGCCGTCGTCGTTTTTCGGCGCCAGGTGAAGACCTTTTTATTTAAGCGTCATTTTAATTGTTAACAATATTTGCTTATTTATCTGGCCAGGGCGACTTCTTTTATATTGTTATTTATTTTATATTGTTAATTTTATATTGTTATTTTTGTATTTTATTGTATTTTATTTTGTGTTGTGAGCCGCCCTGAGGCTTCAGCAAGGGGCGGCATAGAAATGTTTAAATAAATAAATAAATAAATAAATAAATAAATAAATAAATAAATAAGATACCGCATCACCATTGCTAAGCTGGAAAAGCCTGGGCCTGCAGCTGGATGGGCGACCAGATGTGAAACTGGGGCAAGGGCGGACTTGGTCTTATTCTACTCCTGTTCTGTTCTATCTGCAGCCCAGCTCTGCTCACTGCTTATTGAGTGTGTCTACATACATTTCCAGTGCACCACAATAGCAGGGCCAGCAAGGCGGGGGGAGGGCGGGCTGGGGTCCTGGCGGAAGCTGGAATTAAGGAGGGCTGGTGTGAACGGGCTAGTCCATCCACCCCTGAAAGACACCTAAACACTTGAAGTAATTATACAAATCACGGTGTTTATTGTTCTAAAGGAACTGCTCGTTTTGTTTTCGAAGTCAACCAAGCAAAAAGCGAATGTCCTCCATTTCTACCCATTCCCCCACCAAACAAATAGGTGGATGAAGTGCCCCTATGACAGACTTCCAAAGTCCATGGAATGTCAGCCCTTGTACTACCATTTTACTCAAGAATGGAAATGGCCTTCCCAGCCAGGTGCCCACCAGAGGGGTTGGCCTACAACTTCCAGCACCCTCTAGCCTGCAACATCATTGGGTAAGTCTGGCAAGGGGACACTGGGAATTGTAGGCCAACACAAGAAAATTTGCATTACAATGTGAATTACACGAATTCTTTGTATCTCCTAGTTTTGCTACTTGCCCATATGTATTCTACACAGAAACATGTATTTTTCGTCTTAAAATTTTCAAAAAATAAAATATTTATTAAAAAGATAGGTGTCTCAGGAACACTTGACTGAGAAAATTAACCCCATATTCTGTGAAGATGATCTCTAGGTGACTATTTCTCAAGATATAGTAATGTAAGAGAAAAAGTTAACAATGTTTAAGTTTGTCATGTTAGTTTCAGCACATAAATATGGCTCCATGTCTCCATTCATTTAGTGACTTGAGTAAGTGGGTGTTCCAATATGAAATACAAGTTACACTGTGACTGAATTTTATTCTATATTCCAGGCATTAATTTAATTTCTTTCACACGAGTTCTTTGATGTTATGTGAAGGTTTTCCTCAAATCAAAGTTCTTCTTTCGGTCTAAGTATTTATATGGTTTCTCCCCTGTGTGGGTTCTCTGATGGTAAGTGAGATGTGTCTTCTGACGGAAGCTCTTTCCACACTCCAAGCATGGATACGGTTTTTCTCCTGTGTGAATTCTTTGATGAGAAGTGAGATTTATCTTTTGGCTAAAGCTCTTTCCACAGTCCAAGCACTGATAGGGTTTCTCCCCTGTGTGGATTCTTTCATGTTTCTTAAGGTCTGTACCCTTAATGAAATTTTTTCCACACTCAAAACACTGATGCGTCTCCCCTGTGTGAATCCGTTGATGAGACGTGAGGTATGTTTTCTGACTGAAGCACTTTCCACACTCCAAGCACTGATGTGGTTTCTCCCCTGTATGATTTATTTGATGTTTAGTGAGACGTGTTTTCTGATAGAAGCTTTTCCCACACTCCAGGCACCTATATGGCTTTTCCCCCGTGTGAGTTCTTTGATGGTACATAAAACTTTCCCTCCAATGAAAGGTCTTTTCACACTGCAAACACTGATATGGTTTCTCCCCTGTGTGAATTATTTGATGTTTTGTGAGATGTGTCTTTTGGCAAAAGCTTTTCCCACACTCCAGGCAGCTGTATGGTTTTTCCCCCGTGTGAGTTCTTTGATGGTACATAAAACTTTCCCACCAATGAAAGCTCTTTCCGCACTGCAAGCACTGATAAGGTTTCTCCCCTGTGTGGGTTCTTTGATGAGTAGTGAGATTTTTTTTCTGATTGAAGCTTTTGCAACATACTAAGCACTGATAAGGTTTCTCCCCTGTGTGAGTTATTTGATGAGAAGTGAGATTTCTTTTCTGGTTGAAACTTTTGCCACATTGTAAGCACTGATAAGGTTTCTCCCCGGTGTGAGTTCTCTGATGAACAATGAGATGTGTCTTCTGACGGAAGCTCTTTCCGCATTCCAAACATTTAAATGGCTTCTCCCCTGTGTGAATTCTCTGGTGAGAAGTAAGGCCTGTACTCTCCCTGAAGCTTTTTCCACACTCGAAGCACTGATATGGTTTCTCTCCTGTGTGAATTCTTTGATGAGAACTGAGATGTATCTTCTGGCTGAAGCTCTTTCCACATTCCAAACATATGTACTGTTTCTTCCTTGCATGCATTTTGCAATGAGCATTAAGATTTGGTTTAGAATCAAAAACTTTCCAACAAAACCTACTGTTTTCCTGTGTTCTGTCCACTTTTTCTTCCACTGAGAGAACATCAGTATCACTGCCCTGAGAAGCAGGAGATTTATTCCCTCTCTTCTGATTTACGTCCGTCTTCCTCCACCGCCTTTCCCTATTTTTGCATGTATTTGTTTCTGGCGACATCCCACGTGATTCTCTCTTATTCTCCATTTCCCACCTGTCACCTTCTGGAACGAAGACAATAAATTAGCAAGGGAACTGCAGTTCATTCAACAAGTTTGATTAATTATTTTGACAAAAGACAGAACTAAAGACATCGATGGAAGGCTGTTCTTCCTGCAGCCTCCGTTGACTGCAATCAACCCACAGCTGGCACAGTGAAAAAGCAACGGACTGGAACTAGAGTATTCTGGGTGCAGCTCCTGAAGCAGACATGAACTTTACTTGGTGGTGGGGGACCAGCTCCTCTACCTCACCCTAGCCTTCCCCACAGGACTGTTGTGCACATAGGTCATTTTCAGACTGACATACCAAATACGATCCGCCTGCTAGAGCCGAAGGACGCACTTGCTAGAATCTATGCCAGACTCTGCTGCTTTTACAGCTTCACAGTGGTTGAGAGCACTAATTTATTTATTATTTATTTATTTATTAAAACATTTTTATGCCGCCCCATTCGCCGAAGCCTCGGGGCGGCTTACAACACATAAAAATTAAAATATATATATTAGAATAATAATAATTTAATATATACACACACACAAAATATAATAAAATATACAATATAAAATAAGCCGCCCTGGCCAGATAAAATTCAATAGTATTAACATTTAAAATGCTGCTTAAATAAAAAGGTCTTCGCCTGGCGCCGAAGAACAAATAACGACGGCGCCAGGCGGACCTCTCTGGGGAGCGCATTCCATAACTTAGGCGCCACTGCTGATCATTAATTAATTAATTAAGGCTGATCATTCACACTGACCCACAATTCATGTTTATATCATTCACTAATTAATAAATATGAGACAATGTCTTAAGGAGGAATGGGACAGTGAACTGGACCATTCCACTTTGCCTGATCAGTGGCTCCATCACCCAGAGGTCTGTACCTGAGATTTCAATGGATCTCAGATTATACCTTATGCAACAATAACTATTGTTCTTCCTTTACTAAACAGCACAGCACCCCTTAATAAGTGTTTCTCTAAGTTGGCCAAGTGTTGGAATTATAATTCTGCTAATGCTTCTTTCCATAATATGCTTTGGTTATGTCCAGGAGCTGCCTCTTTTTGGGAGAAAGCTGTAAAAAAGATAAACTTTGTACAGAACACTCTTCAATATTTCCTGATTCATGTATCCTTCTGAATTAGTATATGATTTACTGGTGGACCTACTGCAATAGATGAAGGAACTAACAACACTATCGACGCTTGAATGGAGAACATAAGGATAGCACGACTGAATGGATAAATATATAGATTTTTGGTCTGCCTTTTTGGCTATTCCTTTTTTAATTTGCTGAGATTCATAATAAAACTTTTAAAAATCACAAGCTAGATTCAACACAAGTAATGCCCTATTCACTAAAGGAAAACAAGCAGGTCAGGGAGAGTCAAAGGCAGAAGGCGTAAAGGAAGGCCAAATATGAGAGGGACTGGCTCCACAAAGGAAGGCAGAGCCTAGAGTTTACAACAGCTGTGTAGGGCTGAGACAACCTGATGGCAATAACAACAAAGCCCCTTTCCCCTATCTAACCAAGGAAACAAAGACAGCGTATTTTTCCTTACGGTCATACTCAGTATCATCTAGTGGAGCCTAAAAGTATTTAAAATCAATAAATACTGGAGATGGGCTAACACCCGCATTTGCAAAAAGATGCGCACGGTGGGCACGTCGTGAGCGGAGCTGGGGGTCAGGCTAGATGGCCCGGGAGGCCCCTTCTGACTCGCTCCGTTCCTATGTTACTGATATTCAGGGAAGAGGGAGCCTTACCAAGAGAGGCCACGATCCCACAATTCTCCTCCATGATCTGCCTGTGCAGGGCTCTCTGGTCAGGATCCAGCAGGGCCCACTCCTCCTCGGTGAAGCACACAGCCACCTCCTCAAAGAGCACCAGGCCCTGGGTGGAAAAACCAACGTTTCATCCTCATAGCAAGCAGAAAGGTTATTCACCAGCACTGTCCGGAGGGCTGCTTAAGCCGAGGCAGCTGGGCATTACACTGTCTGACTGAAGGGCTCAGGAGTGGCATGTGCAGCTTTCCTGCTGGAGCACAAGGTTATGAACTGGCTACTGGTCCTGGAGGAGGAAGCATGCCTCTCTTGTCCTGCTTCTGGGCCACACAAGAGTCCTCCAGTTAGCCAGTGCAGGAAACAAGCCCCAGGGAGGTGAGTGGAGGGCAGAGGCGCCGGGAGCACCTGTCCTGCCTGGCGAGCCTTTTCCCTACCTGGTTTCCTTCCACTCCATCGCAAAGAAGAAAAGGTTGCTGAGGGCCTCCTGCAGGTATCGTGCCACCCCCTTGTGAGAGAGAAAGAAGATGCGAAACCAGGAATGAATGCATGCCTTGGAGGTTACTTGTTTATTTATTTATTTGGAAAATTTATATGCCACCCCATTCCCAAAAGCCTCGGGGTGGCTTCCAAAACTTCAACCCCAACCTTTTTCCTGCCGAGGAACTCCAGGCAGCTCGCATAACACTCCTGCCGACCTCTCAATATTATCCTTCCAAAATTCTCCTCCTGCTTTCAATCTTATCTCCACAACAACACCCGTGTGAGGTAGGTGGGGCTGAGAGTCTGTGACCGGCCCAAGTTGGCTCCATGGCTGAGCCCAGCTTGCCTGAGTTCCAGTCCCGTCCTCTTAGCCACTGCACCACACTGGCTCCCAGTGTTATGGCGAGCTTTTATCCTTTAGTTGCACTAGAAATGCTATAGATCAATTACGTGAAATTGCGTCTCTCCCCAGTTAGACTCAGGTGCTGAAGGTGCTGTATAGGCTTCAAGTACTGAATCCCAATGTAGATTTTTAACTATGAAAAAGGCTGAACAAAAGTTTTTTTCCCCCAAGCCCCAAAGACTCATGAGAGAAGCACAAGCCAAGGGAGGGTTTCCTGCCTGCCCCCATCCCTAGAATTAATCCTTACCCTCCAAGGGGGCGCCTCCACCCCTCTCTTGCTTGATTTTGCCTTGCAGGGCATTCCAGCCAGTGTCCGATGTGGCTTTCTCTGCCACAGGGAAATCCAACCCAATTCTCGCACACAGATTCTCTACCTGAAACGGCAAAGAGGATTCAAAATATGCAGTGAAAAGGAAGATGAGAAAGGAAATGACACTGGCCAGCTCCTTGCAGGAAGGGGCTTGGGCACAGGACATCCCTCCTCAGATGATTTTCAGAAAAAGTCGGGCAATTCAAACAGTTTTGACATACTCCCTCCCACATACTTATGCTCTTAGTTCTCGCCTGACTCAATGCTCTCACCTGCTGCTTGTCCTGCTTCTTGTCCTCCTCCAGGCTCAGGAGGAACCCCTCTGCGAGGCCCACTGCCTGGGAACTGGTCTCCGCTCCACATTCTCTCACCCAGTTCGACATCTCCAGGGGCAGGATGGTGAGGAGCTGCTCCAGGATGACCAAGTCCACAATCTGATTTTTCGTGTGCTGGTCTGGCTTCAGCCACTGGTGGGAGAGATGGTGGAGCCAACTGCAGACCTCGCGGGGGCCCTGCGAAGCCCAGTAGCGGAGCTGCCTGAAGCACTGACGCCGTACATCGGCGCTGGCTAGAGATTCACCCAGAGTCTTCTGCTCAGTTCTTTCCCAGATTTCACTGCCAATCTTGCCAGCAGCTGGGCCTCTTCCTGCCTCAGGAGTAGCTGAATCTTGCTGGTCCATCTTCAGGTTGCACTCTACGGGAGAGTCCAGCAAGGCTTCCCTTCTGCTAATCTCTGGCTCAAAGCAAAAGCAGGCTTACCAAGTGTGCTGCCAAAAATCTAAAAAGCCAAGATTTTGATCAGTTAAACAACTGTCAGACAAAAAAGAATCTTGTGAACTCTGGAGAGAAGCCAGCTCATGTTGCAGAAGGACAGACGGGCCTACCAAACTCAAAAGTGAAAGTAGAAACTAGTGTTGAGGACATTTCTTAATCTAGGAGCTACAAACCAAAATGGCTTTCACTGATTTGAAAGTCAGAAGTTCCCCTCCCTCAAAGCAACCTCCTGCTCATGCCCTTGCACTGAACCCTGTCCATTCATCATCTAAAACCACACTATGACCCTTGCCATGACACATTCTGTCGCTGCCATATTTTAATGAATCTTTGCTGATTAATATTTTTAAAAGAATGCTTGCATTCAAAAACTTAAAGCCAGATGAAAAATCAATGTATTTATCAACTAGATTTACAAAGACACAAAACAAAAACTCTCTAATAAAGAACGCTTTTTACTTTAAGAATACCTCATCTTAATTAAACTTTTCTAAAAGCTAGCTAGTATGTATTCCAGATTTTCTGAGGCAGCATACATCTTCAGCAGATGGCAATGCTATTTCTGTCAAAGATAAGAGCTGCCTTTTTGTAAGACAGGAAAGTTCACACAGGGCAAGGTGCTGTTTCTGAGAAGTCTGCAGTCGCTCTGCCGCAGAGAAACTAAGAGGGCACTGGTTGCAGGTGTTTTTTTAAATTCACAATTTGCTTAATACCTCTTTTTCATTCCTGTTTAATTTGCCCACAACAATAATGATACCTCTAGTTCAGTCTATGCATCACTGCCAAATACTCCAACCCGCCTCAGCAACTTACAAATACTAAAGGCTTAACATAGCCTACGGCAGCATAACACAAACATTTAAAGCAAGGTAGAACAGCAGCACACGCAGGTCATCCAGAGAGCTCCTGCATCACGTTAATCACCCCTTTCAAACAGGATCCGCTTGGCTGCTTCTCTGGGCATCAAGAGCCGCGGTGCTGCCCCCGAAGGGCGCAGCCTCCGAAGCAGGGCCGGTCCTTTTGGCCCCCAGGATGGAAAATCCCCCGGCGGCTCCCCACACACCTCGCAGAAGCGCAGGAAAGGGCACGGAAAGACGGAGCTGCGGCACTTCCAGGGCACCCCCAGTCAGCTGCCTGGCAGGCCCGCCCCCCACAACTCATGGCAGGCCCGGCCCTGGGGCGGCATCGCGCCCGCCGCGTCGGCCCCCTCCGGGCCGCCCGCTGAGCCCCGGGCAGGAAGGCCGCGCGGGCGGCGGCGGCGGAGCGCGACTCGCGATGCGGGGCAGGCCGCGAACCGGCTCAAGGGAAGGGTCCCCGGCTCCTCCGCGGGGAGGCACGCGAGCGGCCGGGGGCCCGGGACGGACCCGCTGCAGCGGCCCCCCGACAGGAGGCGCCCCCCGCCGCGCCCCCAGGCGCCCCCCACCCAGCAGCCGAGGGGGTCGCACCTGATTCGGGGAAGACGGAAGGAGGAGGCCTAGAGGCGCCCCCGGAGAGACCCGCGCCCTTCGCCCCGGAAGCGGAAGGGGGCGGGGGCTTCGTGGGGAGACCCTGGCCTGCCCCTCTAGGCGCGCGGCTCGCTGCCATTAACCCTTGCCTTGCCGGGGCGAGCAAAGGCCGGGTCGCCTCGCAAAACCACCGAAGCAGTTGTCGCCTCGGCCGCGTTGCCGCTCCTGAGTGGCCCGCTTTATGTTATGCGTATAGGCGATCTCTGGATAAAATAGAGAACAATTATTATTATTATTATAGCATTTCTATTATTATTATTTCTATTATTATTATCTATTATTTCTATTATTATTATAGCATTTCTAAGCATTTCTTATAATAATAATAATAATAATAATAATAATAATAATAATAATAGAGAACTATAATTTTATTTATATTTATTTCTTGTTATTAGTTTTATATCCCATTTTCCCCCTTCAAGGAACTCAAGGTGCCCTACGTAATCCTCCTCTCGAGCGTGTCCTCACACCAACCCTGTGAGGTAGGCCAGACCGAGTCAGGGACTGGCCCCAAGTCACCCAGCAAGCTGTGAGGCTGCACAGGGACTCAAACCCGAATCCGCAGAGTCCCCAGGGCGGCACTCTCAGCTCCACATCGGGCTGGTTCTTTCTTGGACTTGGGCCCTTGTTTTTTCCCTAGATCTAAGGCACACATCTTATGTATTTATTTCATTTCTATACCACCCCACTGCCAAAGCCCTCTGGGTGGTTTGCAGAATCCATAAAAACAAAGGATAAAAAAGACAATAAAAATATCATTAAAATAGCATGGCTCTCCTCTCACACACATACCACTTGCCCAGTGGCCACAGATGAGTCCAGTCGCCCCAGTCACAGGTAAGTTGTACCTCCACATGCAGGTAAATCCTGTGGCTAAATTGGAGGGGAAGAGTAGAAAATGGCACTGGGCAGGAGAGCAAAACGTCAAGGGGAGACAGGGCAACACCCCTTCCCTCACCCCAAGCGGTGTGGGGCCCAGCCCCAGAGCTGTGCTGCCCACGTCTCTCGGGTTCAGCGCCCCGTTGCTTCGCTCCTTGAACTGGATGCTGGGATGCAGGCGAGGCAGAAACTGGCTCCCAGAATATGCTGGCTCGGAGTCCAGTTCCTCCATTCCCGGAGGATAATATTTTACACTGTTCCCAACGTTGTAACCCACGGTGTTACAGATGAGACCAGAGACCGGATGGTAAAAATAAAGAGGAGTTTATTACCTGCAAGATTTCTTGCAGGGACCAACATTCATGGTTAGAATGCGGTCCTGGACAGAGTTGGAATTAGGTTTTTATAGCTTCACAGTGAGTTTTCGGTAAATGGTAAACAATACAATCAGAATTGACAGAAATCAGAACAATGGCGACAATGGGGAGTTACAGAATCACATAGCAGCAGTTAAGCAAGCGATATACAAAAGCAGATTTGGTTAGCAGTAAGTTTTATCTTTTAATTTACACCTTCTAAGCAAACTTTGTCCATTACATTGTAGGTAAGCTCTTTCCATTTTCTGAGGGAATTCTCTGAGGCAGTTACTAGACATTTGAATGGGCTAGAGCTTAGGAGAGCTAAGCCTATCATGCATACCCTGAGACAGCTGATTATTCTAGTGTTTGGCCATGTCAGGCCTATCTGGAGCCTAGAGGAGTCATGCCTATCCTGAATGCCCTGAGAAAGCTGATAGGTATCTCTATTATGTCAGGATCCTGGGGAGTCAGGTACAACACCCAACATCTCATGATCTCTTCCATCTCTCTCTCTAGGAACGGCTTGGTTCCCATCCGAACAGAATGCTGAAGGAGACGGCCTTCCGGCCTTCCTGTGCCTCTTTCCGCATCTTCCCTCCTCTTGCGTGCTTCAAATCCGCCTCGTGAATTTGAGGAACTGCATGTTCAACATCAAACTCAACCCATTAAAAAGGCAAATTCCTCGAGTTGTGAAATGTTTCTCGTTTGTGAAATTCCACCGAATGGTGCTGAAGGCCCCAATTAGCTCTTTGCACAAAGTTTCCCACTGAAAAATCCGCTGTGAGAAAAAGATCAAACTTTTTGAAAGTTCCTTGTAAACCTGGCAGCTTTTGCATCTGGCCTCCCTTTGCTGACACATCTTGCTGCACAGTGAATTTTCAGCTCAAGATTGTAGTTGATTTAGTACTCCTCTTGCCAGGTTTCCTGTTGTATATCTCCTACTCACCATTCATGAACTTTCAGCTGATGTTTTCCCTGCCTCCCACCAATTTTTCGTTCATCAATATTCATTTCTTCTGAGTTATGTAAATTGTTTAAGTAACATTTGACTGGTTTCTGGTTCAGCTCCATGTACAATAGTGCAGAAAGTAAAGTTTTTTATTGTGCAAGGGGAATACAAGTCAACAAAAGAGCCCCTCTACTTTCTCCTACATGCAAGAAACTGAATCTGAAAAAAGTCAGCCCTTAGTGGCTCATCATCCACTAAAACCCCAAATTATCAACCAAACAGTTCAGAATCTATTTAAATTGCAACTGAATTTTCAATTTCACAGTCTCAAGAACTGGAACAGATTAACATCTTTGAAAATAATGGCTAATGGTAGCTCAGCTGGCAGATGTCACCACATCTGGTGGTGATGAATTCCAGAGTTTACTCAGGGTGGATAAGAAAATACTTCCTTTTCTCTGTCCTCATCAGCTCCATTGGATGACTTCCTATGTGATTGTTGTAGTCAGTGGTCGCTTTAGAATTTTGTGTTTCCTTGGGCAAGAAAACATCTAGAAATGGGTTTTCTGTACAAATTATGGGTTAGATTGTGCCAGACTCTTGATAAATATAGCTAAGGTGATGGTAGTTTATCTCCTGTGTGAGCTATTTGATGGAAAGCAAGATCCATCTTCGGAAACTTTCCCACACTCAAGCATTTTTAGCTCCCCCTTCTGAGTGCTTTGAGTAGAAACAAGACTTCTTTTCACACTCAAAACATTTATGATTTATCACAAGTGTAAAGTATTGATGTTTTGTGAGATATGCTTTCTCACAGCTCTTTCTATATATAAACCATTATATGGCATCTCACTAATATATGTTCTTTGATGGTAAGTGACGCTTTTCTTCAAATGGAAAGTCTTTTTACATTGCAAGGCACTGATACGATTCCTCAAATGTGTACACTCTTTGATGTTTACTGAGGTCTGAACTCTGATTAAAGCTCTTTCCACATTCAAAATATCAGTACAGTTTTATTCCAGGGTTAGTTCTTCTATGAAAAGTAAGCTATGTCCGTAGGTTTCCAAGTTTTCTTCTTCAGCTCTCTCGTTATGTAATTGACTCTAGTTGTTCATTTGTACTAAGTTTTGGTAAGATTAGACCCCCCCCTCCAAATTCTATTTTGGAATCTTCACATTTGGATCCTCTGCCAAAATGGACTAGATTCTTGACATATTAGAACAGACTTCTCCTGAAGTTACAGCAGGAACAGAGGTGTGCGACCATGCTCTTATCAGTTACAGTTTGATCTCTGTGGGGAAACCCAATTCCAGTTTTCTCTATGGGGAAACCCAGATTTAAAGATTGGCAGTCAAGCATTTGTTTGGTGGACTTAGAAAAACAGGCTAATGTTGACTTTGTAATGATGAAGGATAATCTGCTGTCATTCTCTGCTTTCTGTTGAATTGCCAGTTGTGGCTGAATGCCAACATGTGCAATTAAATTTTATCCGTTTTAAATCAGACTTCGTGGTGGACTGTAGGAAAGCTGTGGGCATAACCAGGGCTTTTTTTGTCACAGAATGCACCAAACGGCATTCTGGCACCGTTTTTTGACAGATTTTTCCAATGGATTTTTCGAAGTGACTTTGAATCACCTGTCGGGCGTAGCAGGTCAGCAGCAAAAATCATTAAAATAGTGCATGCGGGCTGCTTGTGTGTCGGCGCTGATTGTGAGGGCACTGCTCGGCTTGGGACGCTGCTCGGCTTGGGACTGGTGTGTGTGGTCGCGCGCCGAGTGCTTACTGCCGGTGGCGACCATTACGTTTATGTGCGTAGAGTGACTGGCTACGTGCAAAAGGTAAATAAGTTCTTTATTTCAAACAAAGTTGGTGAATTGAAAATCTTTTTTAGTGTAGAAGTGTGACTCCAAGACATGAGTTCTGGCACTTTTTTTTTTTTACAAAAAAAAGCACCGGGCATAACATAATTTCACTGCAGCAAAGCTTTTGACAAAGTCCCCCATAAAATGTCAGAGAGCCAGTGTGGCGTAGTGGTTAAGAGCATGGGACCGGGACTCAGGCGATCCGGGTTCGAGTCCCTGCTCGGCCATGGAGCCAACTGGGTGACTCTGGGCCAGTCACCGACTCTCAGCCCAGCCTACCTCACAGGGTTGTTGTTGTGGGGATAAGATGGAGGAGGAGAATGATGTCAGCTGCCTTGAGCCCTTTGTAGGAAAAAGGCAGGATATAAATTGAAAAATAAATAAATAAATAATATCCTGACTAACGAACTAGCTCAAAGAGGGACTAGATGAAAAACTTTCATGGAGTTTCACAGCTGGCTACAGAAGT